TCCTCTGCACAGCCCACCCCTCTGCCTGTAGACCACAGACTCTCCGCTCCAGTGTCTGAGGAGTTGGTAGAGCCCAGTGGCCCCTACGCAGAGCTGGTGGGTTGCCTCATGTACCTGATGACTTGCACTCGCCCACATCTCGCGTACCCTCTCAGCATCCTGGCTCGCTTTGTGGCCACAGGCAGACACCGACCGCAGCACTGGTCTGCCGCTAAGAGGGTTCTGCGTTATCTTGCAAGTACATCGGGCATGGGGTTAGTGCTAGGAGGACGCAGACCAGTGGTCCTTACTGGACACACAGACGCTTCGTGGGGAGACGACGCTGAGGCACTCGGGTCTACCCAGGGCTACTGCTTCAGCCTTGGCTCAGGTGCCGTCTCGTGGAGAGCTACCCGCTCCTCGTCTGTTGCTCAGTCCAGCTGTGAGGCTGAGATCTACGCCGGTGCCATGGCGGCGAAGTAGCTCCGCTGGCTGACCTTCTTGCTCACTGACTTAGGTGAGCGGCCTAGCTCTGCCCCGGTTCTGTTCGCTGACAACAGGGCCATGATCCTCCTGTGTCAGGAGCCTCGACTCGAGGGCAGAGCAAAGCATATTCAGCTGCGGTACTTCCTCGTGCGTTTGCTACAGGAGCGACGTCAGGCTCGCGTAGTACACTTGGCCTCAGGTGCCAACACGGCTGATATCTTTACGAAGGCGCTTGCGCCTAAAGATTATCAGCGGCACTGTGTACAGCTTGGTCTAGTTCCTGTAGCCTCTCACTTGCTAGGACCTTGACTTTGTACTGTCTTTTATACGTATACTCGGACTGGACTTGTGTCCTCTTCCAGTGGCTGGACTAGTAGTGCCGCCCTGCTCTTGTTCTTGCCTTGTTTGTACTCCTTTTGACTGGTCTCTCAGACCCTTATCTCAGAGGTTGGACTAGTAGTGCCGCCCTGAGCTGCTTGTTTAGGACATTCCCCTATGCAGTCTAGGGGGTGTGTCAAACATGTGTATTTGTCATGTTTGTATAGACTGTATAGGGTCGCCTCTTAGAGGGTACAACACTTAGGTATATCTGTTTGTACTCTCACTCTATCAATCATTCTCTTCTTCAATTATGATATTCTCTTCTTTGCGTGCCATAGCTCCAGCGCCTCCTGCCAGTTGATGTCGTATCTCAGCAGCGAAATCATCATCAGCTCACCCAGGCGGGCATTGCACAGAGCACCACGGACCCAAGACTTGATCACGTTCTGCCTGGAAAAACCACGCTCGCACTCCACAGTTGAGAGTGGTAACACCGCGCATGCTTGCCAGAGAAGCATGAGGTTGGGCCAGGACCTGTTTATGGAACAACCACACACAAGAGGCGTGGAACAATAGAATCAATTATAAACTACAAGCATGGTGGGAAAGGAACAATAGAAGTTGATACAAACATAGACAGTTAGCGTGGTCAAACTGGCAAAAACAATTATACACAGGCAGACACAGCAGCGTGCTTTGGAGGCTCGTCTTACCTGCTTGACTTCGTGTTGCCAAGGTAGTTTGTGAGGCCTTGGTAGAAGCCCTCCTCGTTGTGGTGGTTCTGCATGATCGGGGCCCAAGTTGCCAGCTCCTTTTCCGCCTCCTTCAAATCGAACTCGGGGAGCTTGTCGTCGAAGATAGCACTGCAGCCATGGAGATACTCTCTCGTCTTCTTCTCCCTCACCATCCGATGCCGCGGCCACTTGCCCGCCCAAAACAGCTTCGTCGGCCCGAGCTTCGATAGGTCGTCCAGCCACTCCAGCAGGTTCATCATGCTCCCCCTCGCGAATTTCGCGCACAACAGTTCGCAGTCCCGGTAGTTGCTCTGGTAGACGTGCCCCTTGATCTGCCGCTCGTGCATCTGGTACGTGTGCGTCACCGGCTGCCCGTCCTTGTCGACGCCGCGCACCTTCACTCTCTTCGCCCCCCCTCGCCCGTACACGGTTAAGAAAGCCGAGAGCCACGTGCCGCTTACGCCCGCACCGAAAACCCCGCCGCACTCCAAGTAGCGGTGCCGAAGATCCCCCACCACCTCGTCGACGTCCTGTGTTATCTCGGTAACATCCACCTGCGGTCGGGCGGGGAGGGGGGGGGGGGGGGTGGTGGAAACATGGGGGCGCAAATCAAGGGGGAGAATATTAGTGCTGATTGTAAAAGAATATACCACAAGCTCACATGCAAGGGCTCACCTCTCGCTTCTGAAACTTGAGGTTGAGCTCGTTCATGATGGTGAGGACGTCCGCCAGGAAGAAGAGACAAAACTGAAACTTGTATGAGATGACAACCTCGTACAGCTCATGGTTATACTCGTACAGTAAAATGATGGCCGCACCAAGGACCTTACAGAGGCGTCTGACTGCCTCGCCCCTGGACAGCCACCGAATCGCGTGGATTCCTTGAACTTCAAGGTTGGTCTTGTGGATGACACGCTGCAGGTACTTGAACCGCTGGCTCCACACGCTTGAACGGCCGAGGAGATCGGCCAGAGATCGGATAACCTTGTCGACCATGTCCAAGTCTGGACAGGCAGATGCGGTGTCCTTCACAGCCAGAGCTTCACTGCGCACAGTCCATGTAAAAAGATTAGTAAACGAATAAAAGAAAAAAGCGACAACATAACATAACGAGTTTATACTGGTGGGCGATGCAGTGGGACAACACAAGGTGAGGGATGTGCTCGCGGAGCCGCGCCACGAGACCGTTCTCGCGCCCAACCATGACAGAAGCGCCATCGGTGCTGATTCCCGCGATGCGGTTGAGTTCGATGCCGGCGCCTTGAAGATGAGTGAGAAGCACGGAGAGCAGGGATGCGGCGTCGCACTTCTCGACGGTGAGCAACGAGAAAAACTCGGTGACGACGCGGCGATGGCGCAGGAACGTGAGGTACACTATCAGGTGCTTCCCTCTGGTACGATCAGTGCTCTCGTCGCAACTGATGCCGAGGAACGGGGACGATTGAATGTGCTGCATCTGGGTCCGTTGAAGAAGAGTCGCCAAGCAGTGGACCATCTGTTGAAAGCCGTACCTGCACGCAGAAGAGAGAGTAATTGTTAAAATAGTCCAACGGAGAAGACTAATGGAATGTACTCGCTGGTTCTTACCGAGTGAGGTAAACACCGTAAGACTGGAGCGGTAGGTCCGGGGTGTCCTGCTCAGCCATAAAGCGACATAGCCGAGGAAACATGCTGATGGGAGCATCGACCTTACAGAGAAACTCAACAGCGCAGAGCAGTCGCACGACCCGCCTCCTCTCGACATCCGACGACAAATAGTCGTCCATCGTCTTCTGCCCATCGGCGATGTCGTCGGCAATCTTCAGCTGGGCATCCACAGCTTCCTTGTGTGCAGAAGAGTGTTCGTGTATGCGCATGGTCTGTGTCTGCAGGTCTCGACCACCATCGCCTGAAGAGCTGTACTTGGTGGTCTCCTTGCCAAACGTCATGCACACACTGCACTTGAGAGAAGGGTGGCCGTCTTTTGTTTTGGTCAGCACTAGCCATGGAAAGAAAGGCAGCCATGAAGTTTTGTACTTTGCTTCAGCGACGAGGTATTTCTGCTCTATCAATTCCTTCTTACTCAGCTTTGGCGGTGGCGGTTCAACGACGGCAGGGACTGCACTAGGTGATGGCGGCGTGGACGGGCGGCGGAGCCTACCTCCGATCATAATTTGAGACTGGGTGTACTTGCCCGTCCGTTGTTTATTCGCAGACGAAATCGTGGACGCGCAGGGCACGCTGTAGCGGACTGTGGTGGCGGTGACGCAGTTAACGGGCAGAGTCGGGCCTCTGCTGGATGAGGCGACGGCAGGCGGAGGGACATATGGTGGTGGCACGAAGGGCGCGGACGGGGGTGGGTTTAGAGCAGGTTGGGTTTCCTCCGCTGCGGAGGAAACCACAACAGCAACGACGGGAGGAGAACCTAACGACCGCAGTATGTCTATCGCAGAGTGACGAACCTCTGCAGGCTCGTTACTATGAGGTGGTTCATCGGCGCTGGGCTCATCGTCTTCTTCTGCAGGAGTCCCCGTCATGGCTGTTGACGGGGTCGACAAACGAGAACCTACGTGAGGACGACAACAACGAAACACGAATTGAGGAGTAAGATTTACAAACCCCGTGTAAAAGCCTGAGTGCGCCTGAGAGGAGGGGGAGGGATGAGAGGGCCGAAGAAGAAGGGCACCATCAAGCCCGAGGCGCGTGTTTCTTGGTTAACCGTCGTCGTCAGCTTCTGGATGGCAGCTCCTTCCAAACCCGCGCCGCCATGCCAAACATGAGCTGACGTTACGAACGAACCATGGGTTGGCATGGACTGCCGCCAATCACGGTCGGTCGGAAAGTTTTGCACATGCCAGCGAGGGCAAGAATCCTGCGTTACCAGCCTTTGATGGCTTCCAATACACCCACGTAGAGGTCGCATGCGTGGCAGGAAGCATGACGCGCTGAGCGGCAAAGTCCCTGTTGAGGCAGCATCACAGTCACAGAAGCGGCGGGAATCCTGCCAAGTGCAGATACTTCGCGTGAGACGTGCGGGGGTGAAATGATGGAAGGCAACATATGACGTAGTAGAGGAGATCTCGTGGAAAGTACAAGGTGCATGGATGTCGCATTCAGAGTCCATACGCGATGTACTCTGAAACCTCAGTATCCGCACAACGACTACTCTGAAAAGTTCAGGATCCAAAATCTTACAAGTCTGAAGGGTTCAGTATCCAGAAAAGCCTAAGTCTGAAAAATCAGGATTGGCAAAAAAATGGGTCTGAAATTTCAGACAATCAGACTAAAATAGTCTGATAAAATCAGCCCTGATTGGGTCGTAGCATGAGTTGAGCACATTGGTTGCATAGTTGAAAATGAGCTTTAGAGTGGCGCTGTACACCCTTCCGTAAACTTGTCACATCTTATTGCAGTGTCGAGGCCCTTTTTACCGCATGAATGAAGGGCTCGGGGTCTAGGAAAACCTAAACCTCGCTCTCGCGGCTTTTCAGCAGCTTACTTATTTTTCACACCGCCTCACCTCCACGGTGTCGTCTTGTTGGGAGTTAGCGTAATCCCAACCAGGTGTTATCGCTGGCCCGTTTTGCTTCTCACTCTCCTCCCGCTTGGCTAACCCTAGACGAGCGACTTGCAGAGTGCTTTTGCTCTCAGAGTGAGCCGCTGGTAGCATGGCGCGGAAAGGGAAGAGTCCCGGAAGCGCAAAGAAGCGCGGGGGAGGTGGAGACGCAGGCGGAAGCGGAGGCGGAGTTGGAGGGAGGCTCGGCAAGGGCGGAGGCGGCGGGAAGGGGACGCGCGGGGATCCGAACATGGGGTTGACTCGTGAAGACTTTGAGGACGAGATCGACGACTGTGCGTGCGGGTGTAGTTTGAGTGAACTCAAAATACGCTTCCTACCGTCCTATCTTCTTATGGCGTCTGAGCCTCCTTATTTTGTTGCGTGCCTTAGTACCTACATTTCTCACAGAACCCCGAACCCTGTTGTGATTATAACCCATTCGTTCCCAAACCCGAATCCCCCCCCCCCTTCTCTCCCCTTCTCGTGTGCGCGAACCCGTCTGTCTCGTTAACTGCAGTTCACAAGCAACGGGATATCATTCCTCTTAACGCGGATGATGGTGAGTCGACTCTCAGGGTTAAAATCGTCACCTCCTCTTTGCAATTATAGCTTTGCATTCATTCGTCGTTCGTTTCTGTTGCTGTGTTATATTTTCCATTTGGGCGAAGCAGTCAGGCCCAGATGGTTGCTTTCTTTTCGTCAAAACTGATTCGTTCTTTCACGATGGTGCAGATTTCGAGGAGGATGATGACAATATCGAGGCTGATCTTAATGCGGCTGTTATGGACATCAAGGTCAGTCGTTTATCTCTCATTTAATTCCAACGTTAACGCAACGGTCCCATTAGTCATTCACTTGCAACCAGTACTCCTGGCTGTTTCTGGTGTAGTTTTTTATTCCTCTCATACCCTCTCTAATTCCACCCCCCCCCCACCACCGCCCTCCAACTCCAGGGGGCCGAGGATATCGAGGAGGAGGATGACGAGGATGATTTCGATGATGATGATGATGACGAGGATGTGGAGGCGGATATGCTGAGTGTTTTTGAGAAAATTAAAAAACACCCTGCATTTTTGGGGCGCCTCAAAAACACCCTGCAAAATCAAGGATGTGGAGAAGCAAGCTGATGGTTATGCTGATGCTGATGGTTTTGATGATTCCTCTCAACACCCCTCTATTTTCCCATCCCCCTCACCTCACCGCCATTCTCTTCCAGGGAGCCGAGGAGAGCGAGGAGGATGACGAGGACGGTTTTGATGATGATGATGATTTTGACGAGGATGTGGAGGCGGATATGCAGCTATCAGGCCTCGCTGCTAAGAGTGAGTCATGATGTGTGTACCCGTTATTGAGTAGCTCCCCATACGGATGATGATATCGATGAGGATGTGGAGGCGGATATGCAGTTATCAGGCCTCGCTTCTAAAAGTGAGTTATGTGCCAAAGCGTACCCGTTATTGAGCAGCTCACATCTAACACGGACGGATGGACGGACATTATCAGTGATGTGCATTTCAATATTTATTGTTTTACTTTGCTTTTCTACAGTGGAGAAGCAAGCCAAGTATATGAGGATGAAGCTTGGGGGAGTGAAGGAGGATGAGGAGGACGAGGGGGAGGAGGACGAGGGGGATGAGGAGGAAGGGGAGGGGGCGCTTTGGGGGCAGAAGAAGCGGCAATACTACAGCGCGGATAATGTGGACTATGAGGTAAGTGTCTTCTAACGGGTCTGCTCTGAACGGGGATGGAGTTTGACGTAGAAGAAGCCGTCTTTTCGCCCTCCTATATCCCTATATCCCTTCCTCCCCCCTCCCCCCCCCCCTAATTTAATTGTTGCCCCCCCCTTTCCCCTCGTCACGCAGTCTATTTTTGAGGCGCCTCAAAAACCGTTTCCCCTCGTTACATAGTTGCACATGGATGGGGAGACAGGGGCGCAGGAGGAGGAGAAGGAGGCGGAGGAGGCGTTGCGGCTGCAGCAGCAGATGGCTGCTGGGCTGAGAGTGCCTCGAGCACTGCTGATTTTTGTTTTATTGCCCCGTCTCATTTCCCCTCCCCCTCCCTCCCCCTCCCTCCCCCTCCCCCCCCTCCCTACACATGGATGGGGAGACAGGGGCGGGAGGAGGAGGAGGCGTTGCGGATGCAGCAGCATAGCTGCTGGGCTGTCATTTCTGTTTTTTCTTCTCTTTGCCCCTGCCCCCCTCCCCCTCCCCTTCCTTTTACACAGTTGCGAATGGATGGGGAGACAGGAGCGCAGGAGGAGGAGGAGGCTCTGCGTCGCAGCAGCAGATGGCTGCTGGGCTGAGCTTGCCTGGAGCATTTCTAATTTTATTTTCTCTTTGCCCCTTCCCCCCCCCCCCCTCCTCCCCTCTCCCCCCCCCTTCCGCCCCCCTTCCTCCGTCCGCATCCCGTTACACAGTTACACATGGAAGGGGAGACAGGGGCGCAGGAGGAGGAGGAGGAGGCGTTGCGGCTGCAGCAGCAGATAGCTGCTGGGTTGAGAGTGGAAGATTATGAGGAAGAAGAGGGAGAGGAGGAGGGGGAGGAGGAGGAAGAGGAGGAGGAGGGAGAGGAAGAAGGGGAAGAGACGATGATGGATAAAGTAGAGAAGGGCGAGGGGAAGAAGAGTTTGGGGAAGGAGGTGGGGAAGGAGGGCGATAAGGGGAGCGATAAGAAGAGTGGAAAGGTATTGGAGAGGAAGGGGAGGGGGGCGGCAGTGGTGGAGCGAGTGGTGAAGGACGTGAGTCTGCTAACTAAAGAGGAGCAGATGGCGGCACTCATGAGGTGAGATGGGTGGACTGTTGTGGTGAGCATAGGCTGCTGTTGCCCCTAGGGGAGGGGAGCAGCAGGGAAGCGGCAGTGGTGGAGCGAGTGGTGAAGGGCGTGAGTCTGCTGAGCAAGGAGGAGCAGATGGCGACACTCACGAGGTAATTTGGGTCTTCTCCCCCCCTTCCTCTTCTCTAGAAGCTCAACACCAAACTTTTGCCTCTGGAACGCCCTCCCTTCTCCTCTTCCCCCCCGGCTCCCCCCCTCCCCCCTTTTTCTACTTGCAGCGGCGCCCCTGAGCTGGTCGGCCTGCTATCCTATCTCATGACGATCCTCAGGGAGCTCAACAGCAGCTGCTGCCTCTTGCACGTGCTCTCATGCTCACCTTCCTTCCCCCCTCGCTCCCTTTCTCTCCCCCCCTCCGCCTCGCAGCGATGCCCCTGAGCTGGTGGGCCTGCTGTCTGACCTCAAGACCACCCTCAAGGAGCTCAACACTAAAGTGCTGCCGCTGCTGCAGCAGGTGAGGAGCAGTGGTCGGGGTTTGAGGTTCGGGTTGAAAGGCACAGGCATGGGTTTAAGGTCTTAGGTGGAGGGTACGGGGCTCAACACCAAAGTGCTGCCACTGCTGCAACATGTGATGTGTGGTCAGGGTTTAAGGTTCGGGTTGAAATGCCGAGTCTTGGGTGGAGTTTTTTTGAGTCTGTCTGACCTCAAGACCTCCCTCAAGGAGCTCAACACCAAAGTGCTGCCGCTGCTGCTGCAGGTGAGGAGCAGTAGTTAGGGTTTAAGGTTCGGGTTGAAAGGCACAGGCACGGGTTTAAGGTTTTAGGTGGAGGGTATGGGGCTCGACGCCAAGGTGCTGCCGCTGCCGCAGCAGGTGAGGGGCTGAAGCTGGGGGTTTAAGGCGCATGTATAGGGTCTTTTTGGGGTGGGTACAGGGTAAACATGGCACCTGCTAAGCGCTTAAACGACTGCTCCAAAGCTGCTGCTGATTAACCCAGCCATTTATGGTTAACCCCCTTTCTCCCCATTTTCCCTGCATTGCTTCTCGAAACCCACAGGTTGGGGAAGGGAAGTACGCAAGAGAGAATGGGGTATCATACTTGGATTGGAGGCCATGCACGGGCTGCTGCTGCTCTACTGCTGCTGCCTGCTCTTCTTCCTGCTGCTAAACCTATCCCCTGGTTGTACCCCCGTCCCTGGCCCTCCCCCCCCCCCCCCCCTCTTGATTGCACAGGTGCGGGAGGGGGAGTACGCAACGGAGAACGGAGTATCCTACCTGGAGGCGAAGCACGGTCTGCTGCTGCACTACTGCTGCTGCCTGCTCTTCTTCCTGCTTCTCAGGGCGGAGGGCAAGCCAGTGAGGGACCATCCTGTGGTCTCACGACTCGTGGAACTCAGGCTCTTTTTGGAAAAGGTAAGGCTTGCAGGTTAGGGTTCAGGGTATGGGGATTAGGGCTCAGGGCGGAAGGCAAGCCAGTGAGGGACCACCCGGTGGTCTCATGCCTGGTCGAACTCAGGCTATTTCTAGAAACGGTAAGGCTTGCCATTTCTGGTAAGTCTGAGTTGCTGCTGCACTGCTGCTGCTGCTGCCTGCTCTTTCTTCTGCTGCTTACAGCGCAAGACAAGCCTGCGAGGGGCCGCCCTATAGACAAGAGGCCACAGTACCAGATCAAGAAGCTGCTTGTTGTCCCCCTTCTCCCATACCCTTCTCCCCATGTCCCCCACCCCACCCCACCCCACCCCACCCCACCCCATCCCTCCCCCCCACCGCCTCTCCACCAGATCCGCCCCATCGACAAGAAGCTTCAGTACCAGATCGAGAAGCTTCTCAAGCTGGCCTCATCGGCCAATCGCAGCGCGCCATCTGGCTCGGCAGCAGCAACTGCAGCAGGAGCAGGAGGGGCGGGCGAGGCCGGGGCGGGAGGGTCGTTGGATGATCTGAGACACCGTCCGAACCCCAACCTCCTGGTGTCTAAGCTCGGAGGTGCTGGCGGTGGCATTGGTGGTGGGGTTGGTGGGGGAGAGGATAGGGGCATTGCTGCTGCTGCTGCTGCTGGTGCGGATGGTGCTGGTGGTGCTGGTGGCGGGGTGTATAAGCCGCCGAAGATCGCGCCTATGGCGATGGATGGGGAGGCAGAGGGCGGGAAGAAGGGCGGGGAGGTGGGGGGGAGGAGGGAGGAGCGGGAGGTGAGGGAGGCGAGGCGGAGGGCGGCCAGGAGCGCTTTTGTGAAGGAACTAGCTGAAGATGTGGAAGGACGGCCGCGTGAGGTGAGTGTAGTTCTCTGCTGGAGAGGTGTTGTACGCCCTTGTCTTGACTGGGGCAGGGAAGAAGGGCGGGGAGGTGGTGGGGGGGAGGAGGGAGGAGAGGGAGATGAGGGAGGCGCGGCGGCGGCGGGCGGCCAGGAGCGCGTTTGTGAAGGAATTGGCTGAAAACGTGGAGGGGCGGCCGCGCGAGGTGAGTGTGGTTCTATGCCCTTGTCTCGAGTGGGGCTACGCAGGGAAGAAGGTGTTTATTTTTTAGGCGCCTCAAGAATAGAGTCCTCACGAATGGGGTTACGTAGGGAAGAAGGGCGGGGAGGTGGGGGGGAGGAGGGAGGAGCGGGAGATGAGGGAGGCGAGGCGGCGGGCAGCGAGGAGCGCGTTTGTGAAGGAACTGGCTGAAGACGTGGAGGGGCGGCCTCGAGAGGTGAGTGGGTTTGCACACCACTGTTTCGAGTGCGGCAGGGAAGGGAGAGGGAGAGGAGAGCGGCCAGGGGCGCGTTTGTGAAGGAATTGGCTGCAGACCTGGAGGGACGGCCATGCGAGGTGAGATGTCCTTCGTGGAGCCAGCTAGATGATGGTCGAGGGCGCGATGACCAGATGCGAGTGGAGGGCGCGTCGACGATGATGGTGGAGGGCAAGGAGATGGAGAGGGAAGTGGAGCGGCTGAGGGAGAGTTGACAATCAATGAACCGCTTTGCACTCCTCTTCACCCCTCCCCCCTCGTACCCCTCCACACACAGATGCGGGTGGAGGGCGCGTCGACAATGATGGTGGAGGGCAAGGAGATGGAGAGGGAAGTGGAGCGGCTGAGGGAGAGGGCGGCTGCTGAGGAGAGGATGTTCTCTCGTGTGCCGCTGAACCGCGGGGAGAAGCAGCGGCTGAAAGCGCTCAAGAGGAGCCAGAACATGTGAGTGTTGAATTGAGCAGACATACAGGAGTCAGGTGGAATGAGGTGGGGTGAGTTGGAGTGAGGTGGGGTGAGTTGGAGTGAGGTGGAGTGTGGTGGAGTGAGGTGGAGTGAGGTGGAGTGAGGTGGAGTGAGGTGGAGTGAGGTGGAGGAGCTGAGGGAGAGAGCTGCTGCTGAGGAGAGGATGTTCTCCCGCGTGCGGCTGAACTGCGGGTAGAAACAGTGGCTGAAGGCTTTTAAGAGGAGCCAGGACATGTGAGTTGTGAATGGGGTAGATGGGGAAGGGAGAGCGATTGGACGCCATGGCAGGCTTGCGGGTATGCTGGATGGGTTTGACGATGACATTACTGGGTACTGTGGCAGCAGGGGAGAAAGGGGGAGCTGTTTATAAGCGCGCGTTGACTTTTGAGTCGACTCAAAAAGTGACCTTTTGAGTCGACTCAAAAGTCACCTTCGTGGCAGCAGGGGAGAAGGGGGGAGCTGTTTATAAGCCCGCGTTGCTCAGTGCTCATTGCACTGCCACCTGCCTACCTCCCCACCTGCCTGTCTCCCCACCTGCCTGCCTCCCCACCTGCCTGTCTCCCCACCTGACTGCCTCCCCACCTGCCCCACCTACTGATCTCCCCGATTCCCCTTTTTCATACAGGCTTGGGGGCTTGCTGGATGACTTTGACGATGATATCGCCGTGACTTTTGAGTCTCCCACCAGGCTTACGGGCATGCTGGATGAGTTTGACGATGATATCGCCGGCATCACGGCAGCAGGGGAGGAGGGCGGCTGTTGATAAACCCATCGCTCATTCCACTGCCACCTCCCTGTCTCACCACCCACCCCTCTCCCACCAGGCTTGCGGGCATGCTGGATGACTTTGACGATGATATTGCTGGCATTATGGCAGCAGGGGAGGAGGGGGGAGCACAGGCTGGCGACGCTGTTGCAGGAGCAGCAGCAGGGGGAGGGTCGAGCGCCCAAGTCGCGGGCCTGCTGGACTCTCTGCTTCGCCCACGCAAGCTGTCCGAGGCGATTCACGAAGCTGGCAAGATGCCCTCCCTTAGGGCACAGGCTAAGGTGGGTGTTACCAGCACCAGGGGCAGCTGGGGGAGGGTCTATCTCTGGACTCTCTGCTTCGCCCGCGCAAGCTGTCTGAGGCGATTCACGAGGCTGGCAAGATGCTTTCTCTAAAGCTAAGTCAAAAGCTAAGGTACAGCGACTTGTGAATGCTTCAGCTGTTGCTGCTGTGGCAAAATGCCCTCTTGTAGGGCACGGGCTAAGGTAATGCGACTTGTAACTTGTATTTCCTTTAAGTATTGTTTCCTATTCCTTCACCCACACATCACCTGACTCCGTATCCTTCTTCTATATCCCGCCCCCTCCTCTTCCTCAGGTGATATCTGGGGATGCTGATATTCCCCTGAAGCCGGACTTGGGCGAGCGCCGACGAGCCTACGAGGCAGGCGTGGTGGCGAAGCAGGTTCGGAAGCGGGGCTCGGAGGACCTAGGGTTTGACCAAGGGGATGATGAGGATGGGGGGGGAGAGGGAGGGGAGGAGGATGAGTTTTACGCTGAGGCTCGGAGGATGCAGGAGGCCCGGAAGTCGGCCAAGGCTGCGAAATACTCCTCGTGGGTCTTACTTCCCTCATGTTCTGCTGCCTTTCTCCTTTTCGTTTTGCAGTGCTGTCTTTTTCCCCCCTTTTTCGGCTGTACTGCCGGATTTTCCTCACCTTTTTTTTTCATTTCTTTTCTTTCTCGTCCAGTTTGTGGGTTGATTGCCATGGAAACGAAGTGGATAGTCAGTTTCTCTGTCCCGCTTTCTGCTCTCTTAACGCTGCTCCCTTCATCTCCCCCCCCCCACCCCCCCCCTCCCCCCCCCCCCCCGGGGGAACCTGTTTCCTCCTGTGCCTACCCCGATAGACTTCTGTCTGCCAACTGCTCACTGTCTCGTCCCTTCATGTGTCCCTGCCTCTGAATATTCCTGCCCCTGCCTGCCTGCCGGCATGCCCCCCCTGTGTGTCTGCTCCAGCTCTGGGCGCATTCCTAAAGGCCGAGCTTTCTGTTGACGAAGATGGCAGGCGGAAGGAAAATCACTGCCCATGTCTGCCTGCCAACTGCTCACTGTCTCATCCCTTATGAAGATTCCCGCCCCTTGTGTTCCCATGTGCCCCCCCCTGTGTGTCCTGCAGCGCTGGGCTCATTCCGGAAGCTAAGCCTTCCGCTGACGAAGATGGGATGCGATGCAACAAATCACGAGCGCTGTCTGCCCACAGCTCACTATTTTTGAGGCACCTAAAAAATAGACTCCTCACTTTTGAGGCGCCTCAAATCACGTGCGCTGTCTGCCCCCTGCCCAGAATCTCTCTCAATATTCCTGCCCCTTGTGTTTCCACGTGCCCCCCCCCTGTGTATGCTGCAGCGCTGACGAAGATGGCATGCGATGCAACAAATCACGAGCGCTGTCTGCCCCCTGCCCGCCCCCTGCCCACAATCCCTCTCTGAATGTTCCTGCCCCTTGCTCTCCCATGTGTCCCTCTGTGTGTGCTGCAGCTCTGGGCTCATTCCCGAGGCAGAGCCTACTGTTGACGAAGATGGCAGGCGGCAGATTACCACACAGGTACGTGAAGCATAACTCCAAGTAGGTTTGTGTAACTAACAGTGCAGGTAGTCTTGGAGGTAAGTTTGTGCAACTAACACTAAGTAACACTGTAGGTACTCTTGGAGGTGGTTTTTTGTAATTAACACTAAGTAACAGTGTAGGGACTCTTGGAGGTAGATTTTGGTAACTAACACTAAGTAACAGTGTAGGCACTCCTGGAGGTAGATTTGTGTAGCCAAGTCACTGTGTTGGTACTTTTGGAGGCAATGCGCTTTGAGGCTAGAAGAATCACCCTCACTCACATAGTTATGTATTACCAACACCACTCATCCTTCCACTCTGGTGTTTCCTTTCCCTTACGTCACCACATTCGTTCTCCCTCCTGCACCCCTACTGATCTCTCCCTGTGCGTTAGATTGAGAGGAATCGGGGCTTGATGGTGCACTGGAACAAGGCAGTCAAGAATCCTCTCAATGCGACTCTTGAGGCGCTCAAAAAATGGCCTCCCTTGTGTGACTCCATCCATCCCCCCTCCCCCCCCTCCACCTATCACTCCCTGTGCGTCAGATTGAGAGGAATCGGGGCTTGATGGCGCACCGCAACAAGGCAGTCAAAAATCCACGCAAGAAGTACAAGGTATGGATGCGAATTCCGTTGCAGCACTGTCTGAGCGCCAGCTATCAGGCCCCATCCTCCCCCCTCTCTCCCGCCGTCCTCTTTCGAAAAGCGCTGTTTGTTATGTGCTCAAATCCATCATGCTCCAACCTCACTTCCTCTGCTCTCGCTTTCCTGGCGAAATCTCGCAGCTCAAGCATGCCAATGCTGTGGTCCGTCGGAAGGGCCAGGTGCGTGATGTCAAGCGCGAAACTGCGCCCTATGGTGGTGAATCTACTGGTATTCGGTCCAGCATCAGTCGTAGTGTCAGAATTGGGTGAGACTTGTTTTTGTGCGGGGTGTTAGGAATGGATATACTATGATGTTTGGGCGATGAACTTGTGGGTATAACTTGTGGAATCGTTTTAGGGTTCCAGTCAGTAGCTTACATGGCAGCACCCTGTTTCTTGGAAGATAGACGAATGAATATCAATAAGGTGTCAGACCTCAGCCACTAACCACTGAGTTAAAAAGGCTTGTTAATAGCGGGTCAATGCGCCCATAGCCCCCCAGTCTCTGCACCTGTGGCCCTTCCCCGAGGATCTTCTCAAGGGTAAACCCTAGCGGGTCACTCTACATATGGCTCATTGTTGTAGCTTTTACAGTATAGCTTACACGAGCTTGAAAGTACACTATGCTTACGTAGAAGGCGCCATAGCGGTTAAGAACGCTGTGACCAAACCGAGACAAGCTTACGAGACAACTCAGCCACTTGAGAGCACGTGATTGGCTGGAGATGTACAGTGAGCAGGGAAACGTGTGGAAGCTGTCGACCCAGATGCAGAAGATTGCGGAGAAAGAGCACTCACACGTGGATCCACCGCCGCTATCTCCCTCGATATTTGAACAAAGCCAGCCCAGCCCAGCAGTCGCTGAAATCTAGGGGATGTTTTGTGTTTTGTGGCTGCCTGGGAATCTCAAGGGGCGCTCCACCACCGCTTCGTTTGATCCACTCCGTACCTCCCTAGGTCTGGATTCCGCAGCTCCAGGCCTGGTCTGGTCTGGTCGCCGCAAGCGCCCCTGGACCACCACCACCACCTGCGAGCCATTCTCCTTCAATAACCGGCCTACGGCATGTCCTTGTCAAATGGACGGCTGCGATTGGATACTGCTGATACGGTGCATTCTGGTTGCTCTGTGATCTCCCTTCTCATTTGCTTCGTTCAGTCCAGCAAGCAAGTCTGCTTCACGATTCCTTGAAGAGCATAATGGCTGCCATTGCACAGCTTAGTTTCTGACAAACCAGGTGGAGCAGAGCCTGATAAAGCAGTCAGAGCGCGACTCAAGCGCGAATTGAGTTGCTTGTCGACTTCGGATTGCAGCGTTTCCTGGTTTCCTTTTCCCCACAGTCTTTGCTGAACGTCTCCTGGCCTGATCAGTGTGCTCACGACCTAATCTTGTTGACCAATCAACGTCGGCCCCTTTTTGCCGATCCGATTCATCCACAGAAATGGAACTCGTAGGAACGCTCTCCCGGCCGATCGCCTCGCAACCTCAACCACTGTTTGGGAGAGCGCGGATCTACTCGCAGCGAGATCAGAACGGCCCTTTGTCTGTCGCTGCAGTGATCACTGGCAGTTCCTCTCCTATTGTAACTTCTCTGGAGAAGGGCAACACATCCTCGATAAAGAGCAGCACATCGGCGATTAGCGCCAAAGCCGCGTTACTCCAGTCAGAGAGTGGCGCCATAGCTGGCCGTCCCTCGTCACCGATCCAAGAGCACGCGTCTTCATTCAATGTACCCGGCGTCGATGAAGGGTTGATCTGGACGGAGGGAGGGTCCGAGCAGCTCGGCGCGCTGCTTGAAGGAGGGAGTGTCTACCGAGAGAGATTCGTCATCAGGTGTTACGAAGTTGGCGTTCATAAGACCGCGTCGATAGAGACCATCGCCAATTTATTGCAGGTAAAAAGGTCCGGACCCTCAATTATAGGCAGATCTCATCCTATGAAGCTCGTATTGGGGTTCTGTAAGGTTGTTAACAAACTGTACATGCTCTCCTTATCAGGAGGTGGGGACCAACCATGCTCACAGCGTAGGATACTCGAAGGACGGCTTGGCCACCACACCAGGCATGAAGAGACACAGTCTAATCTGGGCAACAACACGGATTCACATCGAGATGTACAAGTATCCTACCTGGTAAGTCTGCGTGCAACCCATATGTCTAGTAGCATTTTGTGCCTCATGGTGCATTTTGGATGTTCATGTGAATACTCACCGTTCCCTCGCATTTGAAAACAGGGGGGACGTTGTTGAGATCGACACGTGGTGTCAGCTAGAGTCGAACATATTGACACGGCGAGACTGGATCATTCGGCTGTCAAATTCGGGGGAAGTTATTGGTCGAGGCACCAGGTGAGAATCATCCCTACTTGGTATGCACAGTCCTGCTGGTTTTCCGTTTATATTAATCTAATCCGTCCATTAACTCGCTGTGCAGCTCCTGGGTGATGATGAATTCCAACACGCGTCGTTTGGCTCGAATTCCACCTGATGTGTGGGAGGAAATCATTTCCCATTGCCCTGAGCCTTCCCTGTAAGTGTCTTCCATATGTCACTTTGCCAGAATGAATCTCTGGTTTTACGTGTTGACGGAAATTCTGAAGTGAGTTCGAAAGTTTCTGCCATTCTCCCTTTGAGCAGCTTTGCTCTTCCCCCGGACGCGGTGGACAAGTTGCCGAAGCTTAAAGAGCCGGCTGACCATTCGAAATCGAGTCTTTGTGTGAGTGCCTTGCTGAGTTTCCGCTGCTGTTTGCAACACTGAATGTGTCAATGTCGCAGTTCCTATAATCTCAACACTGTTGTGTTTGTACCAACGCTGTTTTTGTCTATCTTCCCACTTTCCCTTCAAATGGCGGAACAGTGTATCTTCGAGTCCTCTCTCGTGTTGTTTCGTAAATGGCATTTTTGCTGGCGCTGATTATTGCAGGCCAGAAGAAGTGACCTGGACATGAATCAGCATGTCAACAATGTGACTTATATTGCATGGATGCTCGAAGTAAGTTGATGGCTGTGACCTCCCTCAATATGCTATGTCTAGTCAGCGCAGCTGCATGGCACTTCACATTAATCATGTGATTATTCTAGCACCTCCCCGTTGTACTTCCTTTCTCCCGCACTTAGTCCGCTTCTAAACACGCTTCCCCCCCTCCTTCCCTTGCCACTCTTTCCCCCACTCCTCCCAATCCCCAACTTCACACACGCTCCCCCTTCTATCTTTCCCTTCCCTCCTATCCCCCCCCATCCCCACATTGTTGAACCCATCATTCCCTCCAATAGAGCTTGCCCCAGGATCTGGTGGATAGTTCAGAGCTGGCTCAAATAAGCATTGAGTACCGGCGGGAATGCAGCCAGAACGACATGGTGGAGACCCTAGCCAGCCAGACAGCCCCGGCTGCCAAGGCAGAGGCCATTAAACAATGCACCACAACGGACGGGGTCCTGTTGTCTAAAGACTCGGCTGAGTCGAAAGGCGTCTGCTTGCTGACGCTAGTGGAGAGAGAGCGGCCAGAGGAGCTTCAGCATTACTCGCATGTCCTGCGGCTCCAGGACAGCAAGAAAGAAATCAATAAGGGTCATACGATTTGGCGCAAGCGGTCCTAATTTATTGTTTTGCTGTTGCAGGATGCAGTAAGCTCAACCCGGGCTTTGCATATGCATTGTCCGCCACATGCAGCAGGGTCTAATTATATATCTAGGAAGTTCCCTGACTTGTACCAAGTGCAAGTCTGCACTCAATTTGTAATGGTTTGTATTGCTGATGTCATAGTTATTTGCTAGCTAACCTTGCAAGATCATCTCCTACAGGTGGTAATTGCATTAGAAAATGCACACAAGCAGGGCTGACGTTTCAAAAAAAGGCACTCTGAGCTGACCCCCCCAAAAAAAAAAATAGTCTGAATGGCCTTCAGCCAGAATTTAGGGACTCTGAAATGTCAGAGTCCAGAGATGTGCAACTCTGAAATTCTCAGGATCGCACAAGTGTACTCAGGGTTACATTTTATGTTATTAAGAAAAGCTATTCTTGTGTATTACATTTTGCTACATTGGACAGGAGCCTATCTACAACTACTACTACCAAACCAAGCAATCACCACTAGCTAACAGGCACCTAGAACTCCGGCACATCTACAGTAATCTCATCATCACCCCCCTCATCGTCGGACAGGAAAGGGTCGTCGCCTAATGTTGGAGCCGCATCATTCTCATCATCACCCCCATCCTCCTCAGCCCACCCCTCCCCCGCGTACTCTGGCACCTCCCCCTGTCCATCCGTTGTGTCCCCCGCCACCTCACCCTCTAGGGCCTTCCCCTTGCGTTTTCGTTCCGCTCTTGCGAAGACAACAGATCGTGCTGGCCGTCTCAGCTTCTCTCGCCAGGTCGCTAGGGCTTCGGTCCAATTGATGTCATACTGCAGCAGCGAGATGGCCATCAACTCGGAGAGGCGCGCGTTGCAGAGTGAGCCACGGACCCAGGACTTAATCACATTCTGCCGAGAGAAGCCCCTCTCACATTCGACGGTTGACAAAGGCAGCACGGCGCAGGCCTGCCAGAGGCGCATCAGATTGGGCCAGCGCCTGACACGGGGCACAAAAACAGAGGCGGAAGAAAGGCAGTAGGAAATGCATACAGTGAAGGCGGATAACAAAAAGATGCGGTTGGCAAGGGCGGCGATGTTGTGCACACTTGGCAAGTAGAATGGAAGGTGGTGATTCACAAACGACAATATGGTTGGACTTGCCTGCTCGAGTCCGTCTTCGTGAGGTAGTTTGCCAGGCCTTGGTGGAAACTCTCCACCTCGTGATGATTCTGCATGATCGGCGCCCAAGTTGCGAGCTCCCTCTCCGCTGCCTTCACGTCGAAGCCTGGCAGCTTGTGCTCGAAGATGCCGCTGCATCCAAGCAGATACTCTCTCGTCTTCTTCTCGCGCTGCGCCCGTTGTCTCGGCCACTTCGCCGCCACCCAGAGCTTCGTCGGCGACATCTTGCGCAGATCCAGCATCCGCTCTTGTACGTTGGTCATGGTATCCTTGGCGTGCTTCTGGCACAGCTGCACGCAGTCCTTGTAGCTGCTCCCGTACTGGTGCTTGTCGAGGTGCCGCTCGTGCATCTTGTACGTATGGGTGACGGGGTTCCCCTCCAAGTCGATACCGCGCACCTTCACCCGCTTCGTTCCGCCGCGCCCGTACACCGCGAGGAACGCCGAGAGCCAGGTGTTTTCGGCGCCGACACCGAAAATCTCCCCGAAGTCGACATAGCGGTGCCGCAGATCCCCCAGTGTCGCGTCGATGTCCGTTGCCACCTCTGTGACATCGACCTGCGGTGTGAGAGGGGGGGGACACAGAGGAGTGAAAGACATGAGTACTTGCACCAGAGGAGAACACCATGCTTGCAAACATGAGCATCTTACCTCTCGCTTCTGAAACTTGAGGTTGAGGTCGTTCATGAGTGCCAGCATGTCGGCCAGGTAGAAGAGGCAAAACTGAAACTTATACGAAATCACAACCTCATACAGGGGATGCTCATACTCATACAGCAGAACAATAGCAGCACCCAACACTTTACACAGGCGTCGGATTGCCTCTCCCCTGGACAACCATCGAACTTGATGGATGCCTTGAACCTCAAGGTTGGTGCTGTGAATCGCCCGCTGCAGATGCTTGAAACGACTGCTCCATACGCTCGACCGGCCGAGAAGGTCCGCAAGGGTGCGAGTGACTTTGTCGACCATGTCGAGGTCTGGACATGAAGCTGCAGCATCCTTCACAGCAAGTGCTTCTCTGCATGTACCGACATGGGTAGTGGTTAGCACACAGAAACATAAGCATAAACACACAGCAAGGAATACTTTAACAAACCTGTGGGCGATGCAGTGGGAGGAAAAAAGGTGCGGGATGATGTCTCGCAGTCGCGCCACAAGCCCGTTGTCTCGGCCGACCATCACCGACGCGCCGTCTGTGCTGATGCCAACGATGCGTTGGAGGTCGATGCCGGACGACTCCAGGTGGGCTAAGAGAGTGGCCATAAGAGAAGCGGCGTCGCACTTGTCAACGTTTAGCAGGGCTAGGAATTCGGTGACGACTCGACGCAGCCGCATGAATGTGATGTAGACGATCAAGTGCTTTCCCCGCGTGCGGTCGGTGCTTTCGTCGCATGAGATGCCGAGGTAAGGTGAGCTCTTGATGTGCTCCATCTGAGTAGCCAGCAGATGCGTAGAGAGACAGTTGACCATCTGCTGGAACCCGTACCTGCAGTGGCATAATCAGAAGTGAGACACTGGTTAATTAGCATTGGAAATGCATTGAAATTTACAAGGTTCATATCAAAATTCAACCATCAACCGGCGAAAGCCAGGTAGCCTTACCTGGTGAGATACACTCCGTACGACTGGAGAGGTATGTCTGGTGTGTCTTGCTCTGCCATGAAACGAAGCAGCCGGGGAAACATGGCGATAGGAGCGTCGTTCTTGCAAAGAAATTCCACGCACCGCAAAAGACGGATGACGCGGCGGCCTTCGACATCGACGGTGGCGAAGCTTGTCATCTTCTGCTGCTTGTCTTCAATTTCCTTTTGAATCTCGAGCTGCCGGCGAACTGCCGCTTCGTGGACTGTTGAGTGTTCATGAATGCGCATCGTCTGTGTCTGGAGATCTCGCCCGCCGTCGCCTGGCCTTGAATACTTCGTCGTTTCTTTGCCGAAGGCTCGGCAAACGCTGCACTTAAGAGCGGGGTAGCCATCTTTACTACGGGTAAGTACAAGCCATGGGAAATAACGCAGCCAATCATTCTTATACTTAGCCTCCGCGACTAGGTACTTCTGCTCGATCAATTCCTCTGTACTTAGCCTCGGTGGCGGCGGTTCATCAGGGCGGGTGACGGGGGTAGGTGAGCGCGGTGGTGAGGGAGGGCGAATCTGGCCACCTGAGTTGATACGCTGCTGTGTATACTTCGTCGTACGTTGTTTCTTCGCCGAAGAGACAGTCGATGCGCACGGCACACTATAACGAACGGTAGAGGCAGTGGCGCAGTCAATAGGATCCACTGGTCCTCTGCTAGAAGATGCTATGGCTGGTGGGAGAACGAACGGAGCGGGGGCAGGTCTACTAGGCAACGATGGCTCATCGCGTGGGGTCTCGTTTACAACGGTTATGGCGACAAAAGGCGGAGGAGCCGATGCGGCAACGGGCCGCAAGACATCTAGGGCGCTCCTTGGCGCAACGACAGGAACCTTACTGCTGCGCGGCTCATCACCGTCAGCTGGAGCATCGTCGTCGCCATCCTTTTCAGGCATGGCGAGAGGAGAAACGACGAGTAGGAAATGAAGATAGTGACTACAACTACGTCTGTGTCGAAATGAACAACATGAAGGATTTCCCCTCTAAAACCTGAAGCAGTGCGTTCGAAGGTGGTGGGTAAGGAACAACTGGAGAAGAAGGGGTCCATCAAACCCGTGTCGCACCTTTCTTGAAAGGCGTGACGCGGTTTCGGGACTTGTCCATGCACAACACAGCGCCATGCTGCCTAGTCGATGTGTTGGCTGCAACTGCAGCCAATGGGGATGATGGCCAACCTCTGCAAGGCTGGCACAGAGGGCACGGGCCCGAAGTTCGCGCATGCACAGAGAGCAACAGAGCAGAATCTGTGGTCCTTAGTGGCTCGGCGTGGCAGCATTTTTGCTGCGCTGGGTAGCAGAGTGCCCACTGTGGGCAGAGTATTCATTGGACTTGGCGGATTTTTCAAGGAAGTGTGGATTCTCCACGTGACGCGGGCGGGAATCACTGATGGCATGCGAAATTTCTAGGGATCTTGCGTGCCCCGTGGAAATCTGTTTCAGGGTTCGTACCCGATGTACTCTGAAAACTCAGTATTGGGTTAGCGTGAACTCTGATTTTTTCAGGATCCCTAAAGTCTAAGTCTGAATCGATCAGGATTGGGAAAATGCCTTATCTGGAAATTCAGGTTTAGCCAAAAAACCGGTCTGAGATTTCAGACTAATCAGAGCAAATAGTCTGATAAAGTCAGCCCTGCACACAAGCTTCACTTTCGAAAATGGAAGTTTACAACTGAAGGCTGCATAAATGTCTGCTGAACAGAAATGGCAAACGGAAGGAATGGGTGGAAGGCGTATGTTGCCACTCTCTTTATCCGTGCATCCGGATTAGCCGACTCCAAACCTGCACAAGGTTAGCACATCAACAGATCTCCATGTAGATATTAGACGGGGAGAGGACGTGGCCAAACAACCTGGCTAGTACATGGAACCCTAACCAGAAGCATGGCCTGAGGAGAAAAAGGCAGCATGTACCATAATCTGGTGAAGCTCGTCATGTCTAATATAAGCCCACCTGAAACTGCAGGACGGCTGGCTGGCTTGGCACAATACCTGGATTGATCTTGAATTTGAGCACGTTGGGCCGGCGCCGCAGAATGAACTTGATTGGGTGCTCCACACAAGGCTTGTGCCGGTCCGATGCCGAGATGAGCTGTGCGGACAAGATTAGGAAAGATATGGCACGGTTGACAAGGTGGGTAATGGAAGGGCTACAAATGAGAACAAAACAGGCCAGTCAGTAGAAGATTTAAGAACCCTAATGCTCTCCTCACCTACTCATTTAAGTGGAAGAAAGACTGATCAAAGTACGGCGATGGGGAGTGCGGCTGAGCTGCAGCGGCGTAGAGATTTATAAGTGAAGGGGTAATCCAACAAGCCCTCACCTTCTCATCGAAGTGGAAGAGCGACTGATCAAAGTACGGCGATGGGGAGTGCGGCTGAGCTGCAGCGGCGTAGAGATTTATAAGTGAAGGGGTAATCCAACAAGCCCTCACCTTCTCATCGAAGTGGAAGATCGACTGATCAAAGTACGGCGATGGGGAGTGCGGCTGAGCTGCAGCGGTGTAGAGATTTATAAGTGAAGGGGTAATCCAAAAAGCCCTCACCTTCTCATCGAAGTGGAAGAGTGACTGATCAAAGTACGGCGATGGGGAGTGCGGCTGAGCTGCAGCAGCGTAGAGATTTATAAGTGAAGGGGTAATCCAACAAGCCCTCATCTTCTCATCGAAGTGGAAGATCGACTGATCAAAGTACGGCGATGGGGAGTGCGGCTGAGCTGCAGCGGCGTAGAGATTTATAAGTGAAGGGGTAATCCAACAAGCCTCACCTTCTCATCGAAGTGGAAGAGCGACTGATCAAAGTACGGCGATGGGGAGTGCGGCTGAGCTGCAGCGGCGTAGAGATTTATAAGTGAAGGGGTAATCCAACAAGCCTCACCTTCTCATCGAAGTGGAAGAGCGACTGATCAAAGTACGGCGATGGGGAGTGCGGCTGAGCTGCAGCGGCGTAGAGATTTATAAGTGAAGGGGTAATCCAACAAGCCCTCACCTTCTCATCGAAGTGGAAGATCGACTGATCAAAGTACGGCGATGGGGAGTGCGGCTGAGCTGCAGCGGCGTAGAGATTTATAAGTGAAGGGGTAATCCAACAAGCCCTCACCTTCTCATCGAAGTGGAAGAGCGACTGATCAAAGTACGGCGATGGGGAGTACGTCTGCGCACTGTAGGGCAGCCCGGCAAGCATGCGTTTGATTGCCTGAAACAGCACAAACCGACACATATTACGTCAGAAAGAGACAGCGGACTTAGCCTGTGGTGTGAATTTGAGATAACCTTCCAGTGACAACCTTGGCTGGCTGACAGGGCATTGTCATCACCGCACAGGCAGCGCAGAACAGGTGTTATGATAGTGATAAAAGTTTCACGTGTGCTTTTAAGTCGACTCAAAAGCAGACTTGGCTGGCTGACAGGGCATTGTCTGTCAACACTGCACAGGGAGCGCAGAACAGGTGTTTTAACAGGTGTTATAAAAGTTCCACCTGTGTCTGAGACCCTCTCTTGGACGTCACCAGAGCAGCCTTCTGCTTCTTTCTGCTGATTGCTAACCTGTGTCTGAGACCGCCCTTGCACGTCACTAACGCAACTTCTTGCTTCTTGAATGCCTCTCTTGCAAACACGTGGTTGGAGCAGCTGCTGATGTACGAGAACAGCGCTGGGGAGCGCGTTGCTGTCATACCTGATTGTTCACTTCTCACTGCTGGTTGCTGAATGCTTGTTGCAGAGCCGTCTATTTTTTAGGCGCCTCAAAAATAGACTTGTAATGCTTGTTGCAGAGCTGTCATACCTGATAGTTCACTTCTCACTGCTCACTGCTGGTTGCTGATTGGTTGTTGCGCACCTGTGTCTGCGACCCCCCCTTGCACGTCACCAGAGCCGCCTTCTGCTTCTTGAACGCCTCTCTTGCAAACACGTTATTGGAGCAGCTGCTGATGTATGAGAACAGCGCTGGGGAGCGCGGCGGGGCCCGGAAATGGTCGCAGAAATGCTCAAATGCAGAGAGAAAATCCTCGGAGGAGTTCTGCAATGGGAGGGCGAGGAAAGGCGAGGAAGAGCCAACGGAACAGCGTCAGTTCCAAGTTCACGAGAGGTCTAATTCAAGCTCAAGAGGGACGGGGAGCGCAGGGGGGCGCGGAAGTGGTCGCAGAAATGCTCGAATGCAGAGAGGAAGTCCTCGGAGCAGTTCTGCAGAAGGCGAATGAGGAGCAAATGCAGGCAACGTGCTGTGTGAGCCAGGCTGAGAATGAGGAGCAACTAGCAGCTATGCGGAAGAAATGTGGTTTTGAGACGCATCAAAGCTAAACCACACTTGTATCACACAGGAGAGCTGTCTTTTGCGGGGGGGCCAAGTGGGAATGCGTGAGGAGTCTATTTTTGAGGCGCCTCAAAGCCGGAATGGTCGCAGAAATGCTCGAGCGCAGAAAGAGATCCTTCGTGGAGTTCTGCAGCACAACGCCAAGAACTACCCAGTAGGCACCTGATGGGCTGAGAGGCCTAAGCAAGGTACCTGATAGGCTGAGAGGGATAAGCAAGGCACCTGATAGGCTGAGAGGCATAAGCAAGGCACCTGATAGAAGCAGAGCGCTCGCGTGGTGACGAAGTTGTAGACAGTGAAGAAGGAGTTCTGGTGGGAGCTGTCAAGCTCACTATGTTACCTTTTGAGTCGACTCAATAGCACCACACAAGGACCAAGGTACCTCAGAGCAGCACACAAAGAAAAACCAAGGCACCTGATGTAACAATCACCTGGTAGAAGCAGAGCACTCGCGTGGTGACGAAGTTGTAGACAGTGAAGAAGGAGTTCTGGTGGGAGCTGTCAGACGCTCGGAGCACCACCCCCTCCGTGCTGCCCAGGCGGATGAGCAGGTGGCAGCGATCCAGCAACTGAGCCTGCAATGAGAGGAGTGGTGACAGACAGAAGGGTTGAAAGACAGGAGGGTGAGCACACCAGCAAAGAGATAGCATAGCACCACCCCCTCCGTGCTGCCATAGCCATAGCCACAGGGATAAGGGGAAAGGGGTAAGGGGGATAGGAGGGAGAGCACCACCCCCTCCGTGCTGCCCAGGCGGATCAGCAGGTGGCAGCAGTCCAAAAGGCTGAGCCTGGTTGGAGGAGAGGGGTGAAGGAAAGATAGACGCTCGAACCAGTCAGTTGACCGGCGGAAGAGTCAGTCAGACCGGCGGACCAGTCAGTTGACCGGCGGACCAGTCAGTTGACCGGCGGACCAGTCAGTGGTCCTGCGGACCAGTCAGTTGACCGGCGGACCAGTCAGTTGACCGGCGGACCAGTCAGTTGACCGGCGGACCAGTCAGTGGACCACCGGACCGATCGATGGTCCGGCAGACCTGTCAGTGGTCCAGCGGACCAGTCAGTGGACCGTTGGACCAGTCGGTGGTCCAGCGGACCAGTCAGTAAGGACCCTATGTTGGACAATCGGAGCACCACCCCCTCTGTGTTGCCCAGGCGGATGAGCAGGTGGCAGCGGTGAGAGTGTGGGACAGGTGAGGACAAGAGGTGAGGTGAGGGCGCTCATGACGGCAGCCTCCAGCAGGTCAGCGCTGCGTGGCAGGTTGAGCCCGTGGCGCAGCATCATGTTTTGAGGCGCCTCAAAACTAGGCACCTCAAAACCAGCGCCGCGTGGCAGGTTGAGCCCGTGGCGCAGCATCATGGCGGCCGGAGCACCACCCCCTTTGTGGTGCCCAGGCGGATGAGCAGGTGGCAGCGGTGAGAGTGTGGGACAGGCGAGGACAAGAGGTGAGGTGAGCAGGTGAGAGTGTGGGACAGGTGAGGGTATGACGGGGCGAGAGATATGGTTACAGTTGAATTTTGAGTCGACTCAAAAATTCATATGGATACAAGAGCATAGTGCTGAAAGTGGTATAGGAATGTCGGTACAGCGAGACGTCCATGCATACTGTCGAGATGATCATATCTTCTGTCGAGTTGACTCAAACACGTACCTTCCAGACGCTTTTGAGTCGACTCAAAAGCAAGCACGTACCTTCCGGACGTTCAGATCCGCGTAGTGCTGAGAGTGGTACAGGAATGCCGTCAGGGGCGGGAGAGGAGAGGGGTCAAGAGGGGTCAAGAGGGGTCACGCCAGGGAGGCCAGGCAAGGGAGGCCAGGCAAGGGAAGGCAGGCATTACGAACACATACCTTCCAGATGATTAGATCAGCATAGTGCTGAAAGTGGTACAGAAATCTCTTTACTCTCTGGCTTCCTGCTCCCCCTCCTCCCCCTCCTCCTCTGCGGCTTTCTGGCATTCCCTGGGGCAAATGACTCCTCTCAAGCTGCTGCTGCTGCTGCTGCTGCTGCTGCGGCTGCTGCTGGGTCAGTGGGTGTGCCCCCAAGCCCACCCCCTCTCCCTGGTGGCACTCGAACACGTGAACCAGCAGTCGTTGCATCAACACACTCAGCAACCCCCCACCGCTCAGCAGGCCGCCTCCAACCCCCACGTCCACCATCCCCCTTCCCCCCATCTCCTCCCCTCCACCCCCCAGCATCCACCTTCCATCACCCCAACCGCCCTCCCCTCCCCCACCCCCTCCCCCACCCCCTCCCCCACCCCTGGTCGCACCTCCAATGGCTGTTGTCCCCTGCCCGCTCCCTGCTGTCCCCCCTCCCCCCCTGCTGCTCCCCCTGTCGCCCCTCCCCCCCCTGCTGCTCCCCCTGTCGCCCCTCTCCCGCCTGCTTCTCTTGCCCCTGTGCCCGCATGCCCTTGTGCTGCTGCTCCCCCCACTGTTCCCCCCACTGTTCCCCGCGCCCCCTCTACGCCAATGCTCACTGCTCCTCCCCCTGTTTCCCCCGCTCCTCCTCCCCCCCCTGCGCCCCCTGCGCCCCCTGCGCCCCCTGCGCCCCCTGCTCCCCTTGCTCCTCCTCCTCCTGCTCCTCCTGCTTCCCTTCCAACGCCGTACCCAGGCAGGGAAGCAGAGACACCAGCACCACCACCAGACGCACCCACAGCACCGCCGGTGCTATCTGCTCTTCCACCGTCCAAACCATTCCCATGCCAATGCCCATGCCCCCCCTGCCCATACCCCACGCTGCCCTGTCCACCAGATTCTGCTGGCCATGCACCATCCTCACTTATCCCTCGCCTACCTGATCCTGCTGCTCCTACCGCTACTCCCCTCCCCCTCCCGCTCCCCCTGCCTCCGCCCCTTCACCACTTCGCCCAACCACACCTCCCCTCAGCTGCTGCCTCGTGATTTCTTCCACATTCGCACGGTCGCTAACAACATACATCGCGGCCCCGCCGCCGCCGCCCGCCGCCGCCTCCCTGCTGCGTCTTCTTCTGCTGGCCCTATCCCTGTGAGATGACGCCCTCTCTCTTATGTTGCCCCCCCCACCGCCCATCCCTCTCTCCCTCCCCTCCCCAACCACCCGAGACCCAAGCAGTCTGCCACTCTCTCCCCCCTCTCCCCCCTCCCCGTTTCCCCTCCCCCCAACCCGCCCTGCTGCTCCAAAGAGATAAGGGAAGCCACCAGCTCCAGCTGCTGCTGCTGCGGATGCTCCCCCAACTCCCCTGCCTCCTGCTCCTGCCCCCCCCAGTCCCCCACGCCTTCTCACCTCTTGCGAGCGAGAGTGCGAGTGAGGGTGTGAGTGGGCATGGGAATGAGACTGAGAGTGAGCATGCGAGTGTGAGTGAGATTGTGAGTGGGACTGTGGCTGTGACTGTGAGTGAGTGTGGGACTGAGTGGGTGAGTGGGTGTGAGTGTGTGACTGGGATTGCAGGGAAGCACGCCCATCGGGACCATACGACAGACTGAAGAGACTCGACCCAAAGGTCGACATGGTTAAACTCCTGCTCGCCGCCCCCCCTTGCATCCATAGATCCCCACCCGTCCCCCCACCGCTCCCGCCCCTCCTGCCCCTGCCCCTGCCACTGCTCTTCCCTCGCCCCCCCCTCCTCCTCCTCCTCCTTCTCCTCCTCCCTCTCTTCTTGCTCCTCTTCCCCCTCCCCCATGAGGAGGGCCCATACTCGTCCGCACCCCTGGCGCTAGCAGGCTCCCATCCTGTCCCCCGTACCTCCTCTCATACATTGCAATCCCTCCGACCCTCCCTGCCCCACCTCCTTCTCTTCCTCCTCCCCTGCCTCCCTCCCTCTTTCCCTCGTCTCGTGCTCCTCTCTTCTCTTCTCGCCCATCCCTTGCCTTGCTGCTTCTTCCTCCCGCCTCCTCCCCTCCTTCTCCACCCTCCCCAGTCGTCGCCCCTTCTGCCTCTCCTCCCCCATCCCCCCTCCTCCCCTTCCTCCCACTCCCCCTCCTCCTCCTCCCACGAATCCATCTCCCCCCTCCTCTCTCACACTTCCCAAGCCAACTCTCGGCCTCTTCACCCCGTGTCCTTCCCTCCCTTCATCCCTAAACCCTTCCAGCCTTCGAAAACCCCTCCTCTCACTCCCCTCGCTGCTATTTCGCTCACTCCCCTCACCGCTTCCCCCCTCATTCCCCTCATCAAGCCCTGCCCCTACCACCCCCTTCCCCAACCCTTCCACAGGGCTCCTCCCTGAACCATCCCCTTCGCCCCTCCCTCCCTTCTCGTCCTTCTTTTCTGCTGTCTCCACCCCTCTGCCCTCTCCTCCCTCCTCACCACCTTCCCCCACCTTCCTCCCCTGTGCTGTCGTTCCCCCTTCATTACACCTTCCATCCAGCCCCCTAGCATCATCACCCATCCTCTTCCCCCCCTCCCCTTCTCCTCCTGCACTCAACCCTCCCTGCCTCCCCTCTCCCCTCTCTGCCTCCCGGCCATCCAATCCCCTTCCCCCCTCCTCTCCATCCCTCCCCTCCTGTCCCCCCTCCTCCCCCTCCTCCCCCTCTTTCTCCTCGTCCTCCTCCGCCTCTGTATACTCCACTCCCCCCTCAATGTTCCCCTCCCCGCCACCCCTACTACTCTCACCACCACCATCACCATCCCCCCCACCCCCACCTCCGAGGGCCTGTCTCCTCCGCAGTTCAGCTAAGTGCCGCTGGAAGCGCCATTCTTCTTGAAAGTGCGACTGTAGCACGAGCTCATCGTCGTCACACCCGTACGGGCCTATCACCTGCACGTCCACAAACCTCTCCGCTGCCTCAACAATCTGTGGTGAAGGATAAAGGAACAGACGCAGCGGCAACAGGTAAGGGAGAGGAGGTGAGGAGAGAACGAGGCACAGAAGAGGCATCGTCATCGCCGTCACACCCATAGGGGCCGATCACTTGCACATCCACAAACCCCTCCGCTGCCTCGACAATCTGAGGTGAAGGACAGAGGGACAGGCGCAGGGGTAACAGGTAAGAGAGACGGGAGGGAAGGAAGGGGGGGGGGGAGGGAGGAGGGGAAGGGTAGCTGAAAGCGTCACTCGTCTTGCAAAGGGACTGCAGCACCAACTCACCATCATCGCACTTCTAGAGGGGGGAGGGGGACGTAAGCGGAAGAGGCGGAAGAGGCGGATCCTGGTACAGAGAGAGAGGACCTCGTACCTGGAAGAGGTGGATCCGCTGGAAGCGAATGCTGAGGACAGAGAGCAGGTCCTCGTACAGAAACGCCCCTCCGTTGTGGGTGAGGTTTATATAGTCGTCGCGAAACACCCTCCTGTCCACCACCTTGCCGTCAGCGAGCCTGGTGAACGAAGGGGGTTTAAAAACAGCAGGAGAAGAAGGGGGGTCAGCGGAAGGAGAAGGGGGGTCAGTGGAAGGAGAAGAGGGGTCAGCGGAAGGAGAAGAGGGGTCAGCGGAAGGAGAAGGGGGGTCAGTGGAAGGAGAAGGGGGGTCAGCAGAAGGAGAAGAGGGGTCAGTGGAAGGAGAAGGGGGGTCAGTGGAAGGAGAAGAGGGGTCAGCGGAAGGAGAAGGGGGGTCAGCGGAAGGAGAAGGGGGGTCAGCGGAAGGAGAAGGGGGGTCAGCGGAAGGAGAAGGGGGGTCAGTGGAAGGAGAAGAGGGGTCAACGGAAGGAGAACGGGGGTCAGTGGAAGGAGAAGGGGGGTCAGTGGAAGGAGAAGGGGGGTCAGCGGAAGGAGAAGGGGGGTCAGTGGAAGGAGAAGAGGGGTCAGCGGAAGGAGAAGAGGGGTCAGCGGAAGGAGAAGGGGGGTCAGTGGAAGGAGAAGGGGGGTCAGCGGAAGGAGAAGGGGGGTCAGCGGAAGGAGAAGAGGGGTCAGCGGAAGGAGAAGAGGGGTCAGCGGAAGGAGAAGGGGGGTCAGTGGAAGGAGAAGGGGGGTCAGCAGAAGGAGAAGAGGGGTCAGTGGAAGGAGAAGGGGGGTCAGCAGGAGGAGAAGGGGGGTCAGTGGAAGGAGAAGAGGGGTCAGCGGAAGGAGAAGGGGGTCAGCGGAAGGAGAAGGGGGGTCAGCGGAAGGAGAAGGGGGGTCAGCGGAAGGAGAAGGGGGTCAGTGGAAGGAGAAGGGGGGTCAACGGAAGGAGAAGGGGGGTCAGTGGAAGGAGAAGGGGGGTCAGTGGAAGGAGAAGGGGGGTCAGCGGAAGGAGAAGGGGGGTCAGTGGAAGGAGAAGAGGGGTCAGCGGAAGGAGAAGGGGGGTCAGCGGAAGGAGAAGGGGGGTCAGTGGAAGGAGAAGAGGGGTCAGCGGAAGGAGAAGGGGGGTCAGCGGAAGGAGAAGGGGGGTCAGTGGAAGGAGAAGAGGGGTCAGCGGAAGGAGAAGGGGGGTCAGCGGAAGGAGAAGGGGGGCAGTGGAAGGAGAAGGGGGGTCAGTGGAAGGAGAAGGGGGGTCAGCGGAAGGAGAAGGGGGGTCAGCGGAAGGAGAAGAGGGGTCAGCGGAAGGAGAAGGGGGGTCAGCGGAAGGAGAAGGGGGGTCAGTGGAAGGAGAAGGGGGGTCAGCAGGAGGAGAAGGGGGGTCAGTGGAAGGAGAAGAGGGGTCAGTGGAAGGAGAAGAGGGGTCAGCGGAAGGAGAAGGGGGGTCAGCGGAAGGAGAAGAGGGGTCAGCGGAAGGAGAAGGGGGGTCAGCGGAAGGAGAAGGGGGGTCAGTGGAAGGAGAAGAGGGGTCAGCGGAAGGAGAAGGGGGGTCAGCGGAAGGAGAAGGGGGTCAGTGGAAGGAGAAGGGGGGTCAGTGGAAGGAGAAGAGGGGTCAGCGGAAGGAGAAGGGGGGTCAGTGGAAGGAGAAGAGGGGTCAACGGAAGGAGAAGGGGGTCAGTGGAAGGAGAAGGGGGGTCAGTGGAAGGAGAAGGGGGGTCAGCAGGAGGAGAAGGGGGGTCAGTGGAAGGAGAAGAGGGGTCAGCGGAAGGAGAAGGGGGGTCAGCGGAAGGAGAAGGGGGGTCAGCGGAAGGAGAAGAGGGGTCAACGGAAGGAGAAGAGGGGTCAGTGGAAGGAGAAGGGGGGTCAGCAGGAGGAGAAGGGGGGTCAGTGGAAGGAGAAGAGGGGTCACCGGAAGGAGAAGGGGGTCAGCGGAAGGAGAAGGGGGGTCAGCAGAAGGAGAAGGGGGGTCAGTGGAAGGAGAAGAGGGGTCAACGGAAGGAGAAGGGGGGTCAGTGGAAGGAGAAGGGGGGTCAGTGGAAGGAGAAGGGGGGTCAGTGGAAGGAGAAGGGGGGTCAGCGGAAGGAGAAGGGGGGTCAGCGGAAGGAGAAGAGGGGTCAACGGAAGGAGAAGGGGGGTCAGCGGAAGGAGAAGGGGGTCAGTGGAAGGAGAAGGGGGTCAGTGGAAGGAGAAGAGGGGTCAGTGGAAGGAGAAGGGGGGTCAGTGGAAGGAGAAGGGGGGTCAGTGGAAGGAGAAGAGGGGTCAGTGGAAGGAGAAGGGGGGTCAGCAGGAGGAGAAGGGGGGTCAGTGGAAGGAGAAGAGGGGTCAGCGGAAGGAGAAGGGGGGTCAGCGGAAGGAGAAGGGGGGTCAGTGGAAGGAGAAGGGGCGCGAAACACCCTCCTGTCCACCACCTTGCCGTCAGCGAGTTTGGAGGGCGAAGGCCAAGGGAGGAGAGGAGGAGGGGGGGGTCAAAACATATGAAACAAGAGGGGAGCAAGGGAAGACGGACTGACTTTTGAGTCGAGTCAAAAGAGAGCGAAGGCCAAGGGAGGGGAGGAGGAGGGGGGGGTCAAAACACGGTCTATGAAACAAGAGGGGAGCAAGGGGAGATGGAGGCGAACACCCCCCACCTCACTTCACTAGGTACGGAGCCAGGGGCACTGCCCTCTAGCTACCTACCCCCCTCTGCCACTCACCTCACAAGGTGCAGCGTGATGCTGTTCGTGGGGCAGTGAAGTGGGGCAGTGAAGTGGGCAGTGAAGTGGGGCAGTGAAGTGGGCAGTGAAGTGGGCAGTGAAGTGGGCAGTGAAGTGAGCAGTGAAGTGGGTGAGGAGTCTATTTTAGAGGCGCTTCAAAAGTGGGGCCGTGAAGGGGGCCGTGAAGGGGGCCGTGAAGGGGGCCGTGAAGGGGGCCGTGAAGGGGGCCGTGAAGGGGGCCGTGAAGGGGGCCGTGAAGGGGGCGCACCCCCGTCACAGCCTCCACTACCCCCCCCTTGTGTTCTGACGTGCTCCAGATCGCATGTTGTTGCCACCCACCTCACGAGGTGCAGAGTGATGCCCTCCGTAGCAAGCACGCCCTTCACAGCAAGCACGCTCTTCACAACCCCCACTCTTGGCGGCGACACCAGGTCAGCGGGGGTGGCAGAGGCGAACACCCCCACCAGGGCCCTGGCCTGGCCTCAGCGCACTGCCTTGTAGCTCCCTACCCCTCTCTCTCACCTCACGAGGTGCGGAGTGATGCTCTCCATAGCAGGCGCCCCTTTCGTAGCACCCACTCTTGGAGGCAACACCACTAGGTCAGCGGGGGTTGCAGAGGCACACACGCCCAGCGTGCTGCCCTCGCAGCACAGGAAGAGGTCTGTGCACAGTGTTGTGTGACATTGAGTTGACTCAAAAGTCACCTCGCAGCACAGGAAGAGGTCTGTGCACAGTGTTGTGTGACATTGAGTTGACTCAAAAGTCACCTCGCAGCACAGGAAGAGGTCTGTGCACAGTGTTGTGTGACATTGAGTTGACTCAAAAGTCACCTCGCAGCACAGGAAGAGGTCTGTGCACAGTGTTGTGTGACATTGAGTTGACTCAAAAGTCACCTCGCAGCACAGGAAGAGGTCTGTGCACAGTGTTGTGTGACATTGAGTTGACTCAAAAGTCACCTCGCAGCACAGGAAGAGGTCTGTGCACAGTGTTGTGTGACATTGAGTTGACTCAAAAGTCACCTCGCAGCACAGGAAGAGATCTGTGCACAGCAGCACCTCTATTTGCTTTTGAGGCGCCTCAAAAGCATGTGCACAGCAGCACCTCTATTTGCTTTTGAGGCGCCACAAAAGCATGTACACAGCAGCACCTCAATTTGCTTTTGAGGCGCCTCAAAAGCATGTGCACAGCAGCACCTCTATTAGCATTTGAGGCGCCTCAAAAGCATGTGCACAGCAGCACCTCTATTTGCTTTCAGGCGCTTCAAAGCACCTCACGTTCGTTGCCAAACGCCTAAGGCACTGCCCTCGCAGCACAGGCGCAGGCAGCACAGGAAGAGGTCTCTGCACAGCACCTCGCTGCCCCCCACCCGCCCCCCCCCCCCCCCCAGCGGCGCACAGTACAGTATGACATAGAAGCCCTAGCGCAGAACAGAAAGCTACTTTCAGTGTGTTTCCACCCACCTCACAAGATGCAGAGTAATGCTCTCCATCGCTGGCACCCCTTTCACTGCCCCAACCCTAGGCGGGGACGACAGGTCAGCAGGAGTGGCCGACGCAAACACCCCCAGAGCACTGCCCTCGCAGCAGAGGAAGAGGTCTTTGCACAGCACCTCGCTGCCCCGCCCCAGCGGCGCGCAGTACAGCTGCTCGAAATACTTCTCAAACTTCCGGGTGGATGGGGGGAGATGATCGTCCTCCTCTGCTTCCGCCACTGCTGCTGCCCCCTGCGCGCAGTAGCTGGGAGGTGGGGAGTACAGGTGGGAGGGAGGGATGAGGGGGGAGGGACACATGATCTCATGTCAGAGCAGCCAAGGGAACCCCTTGCACAGCACAGCACCTCGCTGCCCCGCCCCAGCGGCGCGCAGTACAGCTGCTCGAAATACTTCTCAAACTTGCGGGTGGACGGGGGGAGATGATCGTCCTCCTCTGCTTCCGCCACTGCTGCTGCCCCCTGCGCGCAGTAGCTGGGAGAGGCAGGGGGGGAGCCACACAGAGAGAAACACAGAGGGGGGGGTGAATAACAGGACAGGCTGACTGAGGGGGATAATCGTTCTCCTCTGCTCCCGCCAATGCTGCTGCCCCCTGCGCACCATAACTGAGAAGAGAGAAAGGGCAAGGGGAGAGGCACACAGAGAGAAACACTGAGGGGCAAGTAAAATAAGACCTTGAAGCACAAAAGTCACCAGGAAACACAGACGGGCAAGTGAACTAACAGGCTGCTGGAGAAGAAGAAGAGACGTGCTGCCCTTAGTGGCTGAAGTGACTTTTGAGTCGAGTCAAAAGGCACCTCGAAACACAGCTGGGCAAGTGAACCAACAGGCTGCTGGAGAAGAAGATGAGATGCTGCTACCCTTAGTGGCTGAACCGGCCCGATGAACCACGTGCTCCGGTGGCTTAGAACCAACGTGAGGCAAAGCAGCACAGATGGGCTCACTGGAACCAGCGGAAGCGGCAGACTATGAGCTCCAGGCCATTCCTGGAGAAGCAGATGAGATACTGCTGCCCTTAGTGGCTGAACCGGCCCGATGAACCACGTGCTCCGGTGGCTTTAAACCAGTCAACGCATGAGGCAAAGCAGCGCAGACGGACTCACTCACTCACAGGAGGGCTCCTCAAAAATAGACTCCTCACGCACGAGACAAAGCAGGACGATGAGCTCTAACCCATTCCTGGAGAAGCAGATGAGAGATACTGCCCATCGTGGATCAGCCGAACAGATGAACCACGCACTCCAGTGACTTTAGACCAGTCAACGCATGAGGCAAAGCAAGACAGACGGACTCACTGGAGCCAGTGGGTGGAAGCGGTAGACGATGAGCTCTAGGCCATTCCTGGAGAAACAGATCAAGTACTGCCCATCGTGGCCGAATCGAACCAAGGGAGGGGCAAGAAGCGACTCACTGGAACCAGAGGAAGCGGTAGACTATGAGCTCAAGGCCGTTCCTGGAGAAACAGATCAAGTACTGCCCGTCATGGCTGAACCGGCGAATCACGTGCTCCGGCGACTCCACGTCGTACACCGTATGGGACGGCACGATGTTCTCGTATAAGCGGCGCACGGAGTGTAGCTGGAGGAGGGGGTTAAACAGAGAGAAAAATATTCATTTTAAGTTGCACGGAAAATGCTCTGGTGACTTTACTTTGTACACCGTATGGGACGGCGCGGCGTTCTTTTATAAGCGATGCACAGAGTGTTACTGGATGAGGGTTACAAAAATGTTTGTGAGGAAGGGCGGGGAGTGGGGACAGTGGGGGGGGGGGGAGAGAGGGGGAGGAGAGGGGAGGAGGGGAGGAGAGAAGGGGAGGGGAGGAGGGGAGGGGAGGAGAGGAGGTGAGGAGAGGAGGGAGGAGAGGAGGGGAGGAGAGGAGGGAGGAGAGGAGGGGAGGAGAGGAGGGAGGAAAGGAGGGAGGAGAGGAGGGAAGGAGATGAGGGGAGGAAGTTCATGCAGTCTCTCAATGCTGCAGCGGCTTGTAACGAGTCATTCTGAATCATTAGCTGCAGCGGCTTGTAACGAGTCATTCAGAATGATTAGCTGCAGCGGCTTGTAACGAGTCATTCTGAATCATTAGCTGCAGCGGCTTGTAACGAGCCATTCAGAATGATTAGCTGCAGCGGCTTGTAACGAGCCATTCAGAATGATTAGCTGCAGCGGCTTGTAACGAGTCATTCAGATCAGAATGATCAGCTGCTGCTCTCTGCATTTAGCCTGCGAGCAGGGCGGAGAGCGGAACGCCTCGCGGTGCAGCAAGCGCTGGCACTGAGCTGCTGTACTCGGTTACAAGATACTATAAGCGCTGGCAGCCTGGCACTAAGCCGCTGTGCTCGGTTACGAGATAGCTCTCAAGCTCGCACTCAATCAACCGCCGGCTGCTCTCTCGACTTGCCTGCGCGCATGGCGGCGAGCGGAACGTCTCGCGGTGCTGCAGGCGCTGCATAAGGTTGTCGCTCCGCTCCCTCCGCTCCCTCCATCGAGTCCCCGGCATCTTCGCCTTCTCCCACTACCTAGGCGACTTAGGGTCGACTCGAAGCCACCTTGTTACATATGGAGTTACCCTGCAACGGCTTGTTGCAATGTCACACGACGCTGCAAAAGATTCAACCTTCAACCTTCACGCGACAAGTTGCCGATCCCACGCAACACAGCACACAGCACACAGCCACACGCCACGCGTACACGGTCGACTCTAAAGCTACCAGGCGTCTCCGACGTGGTACCTCGCGTTTTAGAAGTCTCTAGAGGTATTTTCTACCATGGTTTCGCAAAGCCACGTCTATATCGACTCTACTGAGCGTCTTCAAACCTTCCAACCATGACTGACGCAAGCTTTGCTTGCTCTTTTCTGCGGACACACACTACTGCCTGTGCGTCGTCAGCTAAGCTAGTCGAAGCCACCATGTGACGGCAGTAATACACGTTTTAGTAGCTTACATAACACGCATGCGTAGATTGTAGTCGTAAGCGGTTTGATAATAACCAAGTAAAGCGCGACTCTTGCCTGTGGCTGTGTGCTGCCCACGCTTCCCCGCAAACTGACAACTTCCCGATAAAACCCAGAAAATGCTGATCAAGTAAATAAACGGCTACGATATCGCATTGCTTCTTCCAAAGTATCGTAACCGTTCGACATGAGCTCAGTGACGTGCACGATCACGGATAATTCTCACCTTATCACAAACTGCAAACTCAAAATGCCACAGATCGGTACAGTGCGGTGGTCGAAACTTCTAAAGAGTTCCACATCAAAACTGCTTCGGTCGAAACATCGATCTGTCCACGTGCCCAGCTGGGGAGGTGACGCGTTGCTGAGCTTATACACACAGGCAGCTTTGGTAGCGGAATGTTACCAATATATAAGAATTTGAAACGAAGTTCAACTTGTAAGAGACTATGCATCTTGTTCCTACGAGACTCACTCTTGACCTTGAGATCGTGTTCCCAGGACCACTTTCCGGAATACTCCCGTTCCATATTTGCGTTCCACCGCTCTCAACCACATAAAACCAGCTGGCGACGAAATTTTACATTGCAGATTCGAGCTGGTCTGAAAATCTGCTCGTCTGAAAATCTGCTCGTCTGAAAAGAGGTTTTATTCTTAGAAACTTAGGACTAAAGGTTCTTAAACTTAGGAGGCTAGGTTGGCTAGGATACTAGGAAGAAGACCACCATGGAATGGCGTGAGGAAAAACGGATCTAGGAAGGGAGGGAATGTCGAGAAGAAAGGTGGTTGGATTAGGAAGAGAGGGGAGTACAAGGAGGGGTTTGTACCCCCTACAGAAAGGTTCAGTAACAACCTACCAAGCCTATATTAAATTATAACTTATATCATTTTAACACACCCCCTAGGCTTGGTAGTGTCAAGCCCACGCACACCCCCACACCCACACCCACACCCACACCCCCTAGCCCAGCACCCCCATTCCCAGCAGCAGCCGAAACGACTCCGAAAGAGGGTAGGTCTCACGGCCCCTTGAGACGGCAATGGCGGCAGCAGCGACAGTGACGACAGCGGCGGCGGCGGCGGTGTGCGGCGGCTCCAGACCTGCGGCAACAGCGGCGGCGCCGGGGGGCTCGAACGACAGAGGCTGGTGCGGCGGCCCCCGCCCTCTCGGCGGCATGTCCTGTCTCCTCGGCGGTGGAGAGGTCCCTCACACGGCAGTCATCGGCTGCAGCAAGAAAGGGGGGGATGCAGGGGAAGCAGGTGCAGGTGGGGGGGGGGAGGGGAGGGGGCGGGGCGAGGCGAGTCTTCAGCGACGCGCCATAAATGGCGCGGCGCTTACTGGCGGGAGGACGCCGTCCTGAGGGACGCCCGTCTGTGGCGAGCGGGCGGCAGGCCCGGCGACGCCACAGACGTCGCTCGGCCGGCCGCAGCCCGACGATGCCGTCGGCTGCCGCAGACGCCGCCACAGCGCACCGTCAATGTCGCAGCGGCGAGGCGGAGGGGCGACGGCTGCACCAAGGGGCCGTCGCGACACCTTGGCGCCGCGACGGTAGGCAACGAGGGACCGTCGCGACATCTTGGTGCCGCGACGGCAGGCAACAAGGGGCCGTCGCGACATCCTGGCGCCGCGACGGCAGGCAACAAGGGGCCGTCGCGACAACTTAGTGCCGCGACGGCAGGCACCAAGGGGCCGTCGCGACATCCTGGCGCCGCGACGGCAGGCTGGCAGAAAACCGCGAAGGCTGCGAATGCAGTAGGAGTACGCAACGGGAACGTAGGGAGAGGGTCCGGTGGACACGACCGGCTCTGATACCATCTTAGAAACTTAGGACTAAAGGTTCTTAAACTTAGGAGGCTAGGTTGGCTAGGATACTAGGAAGAAGACCGCCATGGAATGGCGTGAGGAAAAACGGATCTAGGAAGGGAGGGAATGTCGAGAAGAAAGGTGGTTGGATTAGGAAGAGAGGGGAGTACAAGGAGGGGTTTGTACCCCCTACAGAAAGGTTCAGTAACAACCTACCAAGCCTATATTAAATTATAACTTATATAATTTTAACATTTATAATACGCCCCTGAATCTCGGGAAGGCGAATCTCACTTCGCACTTCGCGGAATCGCCCTGAAACATTTCGCGTCAAAATTTGCGACACTGTTGCACGCGAGTCTGGGAAGAGGTTGCTTGGGAAGGGGCTTGTAAGGAATTTCCATTCCTTACTGAGTTGTACGTGTTCAAATTATATTTTATATAATTATAGGCTTGATAGTTGTGCTACTGCATCCTACTGTAGATGGGATAACTCCTCTTCTTGTACCTGTTTCTCTTCTAGTTGATTCACCTTTTCTCTCTACATTCTCCTCGCCTTCCTCCTAGCTAAACCCCGCCGCCATAGTCATGGCGTCCTAGCTGTCCTACCTTCACGACATGGTTTCAGAGCAGGCCGCCCGTCCCGGGCCTGCTCACTACTCTTCCGCTGCGTATTCTCTGTTACTTCGCCGCCTTCGCAACCTTCAGATTGCCTGCCGCCGTGGCACCTTCTCTGAGATGCCGCGGCGGCCTCATGGTGGCGACGCCGTCGACGTCGGGCCGTCGCTGCGTGACAGCGCCGCCGTACTGACGCCGCGGCGTCGACGTCATGCCGCATCGACGCCGCTCGTTGACGGCGCCGTCGGGCTGCAGCCGACCATGCGACGTCCGTGACGCTGCCGCCGCCCACACGCCAGCCAGCGCCCTCTCCTCTACACCACCCCTTCTCCTTGCGTCCCCTCTCCCTCCTGCCGCAGCTGCTGTCTTCGTCTCGGTCATCACCAGGTCGTGCCACACCGCCGAGAGCCCTCAGCCGCCGCAGTCGCCGCCTGTCCTCATCACCGCAGCCGCCTTGAGCACGAGCTCCGCCGCTGTCGTCATTGAGGCCGCCCAGATGCGGCCAGCTGCCTCTCGTCCGGGGGTGTCATCGCCTAGCATGAGGGGTCGATACCCGGCTGCTCACGAGAATGAGGGGGTCCGGGGTTAGGGGGTGTGTGTGTGGGTTGACTGGGCTTGCCACTACCAAGCCTAAGGGGTGTGTTCAAATTATATTTTATATAATTATAGGCTTGGTAGTTGTGCTACTGCATCCTACTGTAGAGGGGATAACTCCTCTTCTTGTACCTGTTTCTCTTCTAGTTGATTCACCTTTTCTCTCTACATTCTCCTCGCCTTCCTCCTAGCTAAACCCCGCCGCCATAGTCATGGCGTCCTAGCTATCCTACCTTCACGACAGTACGCTGGCGCGTACACCCGAACTCCTCGACTCGTCACGTTTGGCCTCGTTTATCGGCCCAACCCTTTCCCGAGTCGCGTCCGGCACTGTCGCCACATTGCCGAACCTATCCGCGTTCCGAGGTTATCGCTCTAACATGCCAACCCCTATATATCTTCGTGCCTTCATTGCAACAGCGACCTTGTATTCTCACGTTATAGTACATTGACACTTCCTAAATCATAACAGCTGGTATTAGAGCCCGACCTTTCTCGAAACCTTGCGTTTTTCAGGCTACTTAGTTAAGGGTGGTCAGAGGGGATTAGCACGGCTGCACAGCAGTTGCCTTGGGTCGTAAATAATTTTACGCCAGCAACTACAGCGTGTCCGCTAGCTCCTGTCCCGTCCTGACCGCCATGGCCTCGGTAGATTCGACAATAGAGGAACAGTCCACCTCGACTGATGCGAACCCTGTCCGGAAAACTATCGACCTGCAAGCATTAATGGAGCAGTTGAATAATTTGACAAGCGTCGTCAACAACCTTCGCGACGAGAACCACTGACTTCGCAAGGCGCAGGAAAGGCATTCAGAGGAGCCCGGCGACGATGCACGAAGCGAGACGGGTGAGCAGCAACCGTCGCCAGTAGAGCTGGCACGACTAGCGGCAACAGCCCCGTCCTCGACAAGTGGCGGCGTGAGATATCAGCAACCCGCTCCTTTCGACCCAGCTAATAAAGGCGTGACGGTGCGGCAGTGCATATTCGCCATGAATATCTATTTCAACGCGGCGGGCATCCGAGACGATCAGAAGCGGATCAGTCATGCGTTAACACAGTTGCAAGGGGCCGCGCTACAGTGGTGGAAGGTCATCGTCGACTCAGCGGCAACTCGCACAGAAGGACAGCACGAGTGGTCCGAAGAATTCGGCGACGAAGGCGAGGCAGATTTGCTGTTTGGTGCAACCCACATTCGCACGTGGGCAACATGGTGCGCAGAGCTTCGCAAGCGGTTTGAGCATGCTCTTGACTCAGACAAAGCGCGCGAGCCTCTACGCATGTGGAAGCAACTGGGATCTGTGTCCGAGTACACCGCATCATTCTTGACGTTGGTGGACAGATGTGGCTACATGCACGAGTTGGAGTAGGTCGACAGGTACATGGGCGGGCTGAAGCCTGAAATAAAGTACCAGATAAAATTGCAACGACCTGCGAAGCGGTTACAAGACTTCATCCAACTCGCCGAAGCCGCTGATTCGCTTACGAAGCCGATGACGAACTTCTACGACGGAAGTCGCCCTCGAGAACAGTACCAGCGCGCCACGATAAAACAGGTGGACGCAGTGGATATTTACGCAGTTGCTATGCGAAATACGAGGTTATGCTACCACTGTGGCCGACCAGGTCACATCCGACGCAACTGCCCAGAAATCATAGCCACTCAGAATTCTATGGGGAAGAAGCCGGAGGAGCGACCGAGAAATGGGTCGCGTCAGTAAGTACCGGGCCCTTTACTGACGGGCAAGCTTCTTCGCCCGAGCCACACAGTCCCCACCGGGTCGTGATCCCGATTGCTGCAATCGACCGGACCCGGACGAATAAGGGGGACGAAATTGCTGATCACCCTGTGTTGGTGGAGGGTAAAGTCAACGGGGTGTTGCTGAAGATTTTCGTGGACAGAGGCGCGAGTCATAGTCTCATATAGCAAGACAGGGCTAAAAAATCTCTTACTTATGTGTCTACCCGAAATTGACGCCCGACTAGTGGATTGAACA